AATCTAGTCATTCATGGACAGAATGACTGTAACTTTCAAAGACTTTTCTTCGTGTTATGGAAAACTGTGCTGAGTAAAACGAAGTTCAAGGCTTTAAGTGAAGTGCATCATAGACCCACCTGCGTAACTCAGACTGATAGGCTGTAACGTGGAATTATTGCGTTCTTTTTGTTCACTGGCAAAAGTTTTACTAAGGACAGTTGGAATCTCACTCTCATTTTATTTTATAGATCAAACAAACTTCGGATAATGTTATTCTCTTGGAGCAGTGAATTCTCGAAAAAAACCTCTGATACAACAACATAACTATTGTCTGACCCGCCTAAAAGTATGGCGCTAGCCCTCCAGCAAGAACTCCAGCCAGTCGAATGCGTGCGTCGGTAGATTTAAAAAGATGAGAGGAATGCATTGTCTCACCGCGTCCTGGGCCCGACCCAGTCTTCGCATAACCAGTTCGCGTCCTTGGAACATTTTCCATACTGATGTCCGGTGCGCCTCGGCCAAGGATGCATTTACCCCCTGTGCGTTCGGACCCAATTCACTGGAGCGTATAGTCTTCAGCAGGACCAGATTGTTTTCATTGATACGAGGCAGGTATCCGCTCGGACGTCCGAACCGTGCAGGATTGGGGTACAGGGTATTCACCGGAGTGCCGTGCGGCAGCATTTAGAGAGGCAGCAGGCGTTGTGAGATCAATCGCTTCACTTCAGATCGCTTTTGGCAGTTGAGCAAATTGAATCAGCGAGGTGACCTTGAACTCACTAGCGTGAAACAATAAGCCACCTACAAGCGCCAAATGAACTACTTAACCGTATAAAACATCTTTGTAAAACCTGTGTTTGTGGTTACCTAGGACGAAGTGGAAGCCCCTGAAGTGTAAACTGTTGCAGAAAAATATTGACTGCGGTCGTGTTTGAAACCCCAAAAGAGTTAATTAAAGCGTTCAGAGTGGCGTCAGCATCTGACGGTTTATGTTTAAAATTTCGAACCTCCCAAATAACTGCAGGCTCATAGGGGTCGAACTTTACTGACTTCCAGGAGGAGGGGGCAGTTCGGTAGATGCTGCGCAAGTATGCTCTCACTATAAACTAATTCACGCGTAAGTCATCGTGCCTACTTCCCCTTGCTGTGGAACGCACGGCGGACATTGTCGGTTGCGACGGTCGAACTGTGTGCTTTCTGTAACTTCTCATTTGATGTTGTTTCTGATGATGTATTCGAGTGCAAATCCGAGGCGCAGGGCTAATAAAACCCCTGTCCCAGCTATCGATCCGGTGGGGTACGGGAATTGGTAATCCCGTATTACGAGTGACCTTGCGCTAAATTTCAGGTGGGTTAGGGCGGAGACCAACGTTAGGCTTGTTGTTGGGACACGGGAATAGCTTCCCTTTGAATGCAGCTTTCAATTATTTACCATACATGGGGGGGCTACCTATTACTGTCTTAACCCCGATCATCCATCCTTTCGATATTAGGCCTCATTGTATGTAGCTTGGTAGATATGAGGAGAGCAGCAGGTCCTGCGTGGCGCAATTAATTGACTGTTTAGCCTTTTCAGTCACTGCGCAAGTTCCGTTTCCGCTCATGGAAAGATGGAGTGGGGTAGATACGTCGCATGTCTGCTTCGTTAAGAGCAAATTCACGCGCAATGCACCTCGGTCGTCCAATCTCCATTAAGCACATTTGGACTTCATCGTCCTTGACCGTCAAACTATCACTTCATGTTCATGTGATAATTCATTTTGACCCAACTGCGAAAAACTTGGCAACCCTGCTGTAAACTGTAACTAAGCAAAACTATTATGCTATTCGAAGAGGTATTTGCGGTTATTTGGCTTTGAAATCATCTTTCAGGAATTCTGATAAGATATAAACTCTACTTGACTTATTATGCTTTAAGAAAGACATGAGGTCTTGTCTCGGTCATATTACTAATCCCAATCCAATGAGATAGCCCGAACCTTGAGAGGAATTCCTGTTTGATCGAGTCAAGTTTGTGACCCCTGAAAACATGCGAATGAAGAATATAACTCTTTCGCCTCCCCTCACCTGAATGAGGCGCAACTTTCACTGTGAAATCGAAGCCAACATGAGGCAATAAATCTTGCAGTCTATATGCGGGCGTGTACCCGTATGGAAGAGAAGGCACCCCGGCCAACACTCTCACATTAACGGCTGGCCTCAAACTTTCTCCGATATAAATACGGCCCCAGGACGCTCCTTGCACCATCACGTCTGTTCCAGTCATTCTTTCGCATCTCGCGTACAATGCTTCTTGCCGCAGTGTCGATTCTTTGTCTCGTTAACGTCCTTGTAAGCCCTGTTCTGCCCACGGATGCACCTCAATCTGTGGTTATGTCTGGCGCGGCCTCGGAAGCTAGTGTGGAAGGAACGACTGCCGAGGCAACCCTCGCCACTGCTGCTCCAGGGACAACGGTAGAGCCTGAAGTCAGCGAAGCCCTATTCACCCAGAAGGACGTTGAAACGGCCAGCACTATGGCAACGGATCACCTCGTGCAAGACGATGGTCCCGTAGTCACAGAGGCACCAGTTGAGGAGGTTCCGCTGGACCATTTCTTTTCTGAGGCTCCCATCTCCAAGGATGGAGAGGTGGATACTGCAGTAGACGGTATTCCATTGGACGATGTAGACCTCTCTGTGGACGCAACAGCGGACATTGATACCGCAAGTTTCGACGACCAGGTAGCCGGATTCACTTTTGGTCCGTCATTGGAAAGCCAAGAAGTTGATGTGTAAAAGACTGCCTGACGATTAGACGAGAGGAGAGGGCGATATCATTTGTTTTATTTTATACGCAGCGAGTGAAGCCATCGTTTTCCAGGACTCTCCACTTTCTCTTTTCACTGTTTTAATTGATGGGGAGCTTAATTGGTGGATATTTTTCCGTGCCAGGCGTTGGGGTTTCTACTTTTACGCTAATTCAGGCAATGCAAAAATCGGTTAAGCATTTTCTACGTGAAGTACTTTACTTGTCCTTGAACTTACATTTATATAAATAAAGGAATTTTGACAAATATGTCGTTCCTGGCGGCTCTGGTCAAAAACAAATCCCACATGCTCATGCTGGCTGGGGAATTCCGTACGACAATGCAGTGATAACCTCTTAGTGTGGCCTTTGTGGCACTCTGGCTGATGTGGAATCCGAGCCGTCCCCTGAACACACAATACATGCGTTTAACGCGCTTAGACGAGCAGTTAGTCTTTTTTAGCCACTGTGCCCGGTTATCTTGACAATGTCTTGCAATCTAAGCAAGACGGGTGAAGGAGGGTGCTGCGCAAGCCCGCCTCGATAAAAACTGTCACCATCCTGCGCCCCCTTTGTGGGACAGATGGTGGACTTCGTTCGCGGCGGTCCGACCGTCTTGGGACAAATGTTTTTTTTTCACAATGACATGGATAACGTACGATTCTGTTAATGTTTGCATTTATCGAACGTGTTGCCCCACCATAGGGCAAACACTATGACTGCTTTTTCGAATATTGCTTTGGAGTGGCTCGGCTCCGGCCTCCCAAAAGGTTTATCTTTCGTTACTTGTCAGAACTGAGCAATGGAGCAAATTAGAATAATTTCGAAGGCACATTGAGTAGTGAAGGAAATACTGCTCCAGAAATTCCTTAGTATTCGATCCCAACCTGTGGGTTTATACTGCATGAAAGTGCTCTGGCAGCTCTTTGAGCGTAAATGGTGAATTTGTTTGCACATTTATGTCCCAACTCATGTCGTGGTGGGGACACAAAGCGACACAAGGCTACTGTAACTTTGCCGGTCTCTGTCACCCAGCCCCTTCATGAATTAGTCAGTCCCCTGGGCTAGTAGCAAACATGTTTGTGTGCATATTTAAGACATTTACGATAAAGTGCGCATGCATATATTAAACTGCAGCAAAGCAAAGTAGTTCATTTATATATTCATTTAGATATAGTTGTTGGATATATATCTTCCACTACACAGATCGCAAGCAGTCACACCCTGATTGCATGCACACACACATATGGTATGGTTTTGGGCATTTCTGAGTACGAAAATGTAACCCTCGGAAGTTTATTCCGTATTCGAGACTACTTTTGCAATTCTTCTGGTTGTGTTGGTTGTTCTAGGAATATTTTGACTCCCACCACTAATAATGACTTTGAAGTAATCGTGACATAATTGGATTTTCCTAAACAATATAAATACAGAAAATTTAGTGGAATATTTTAACAGTGCCAACCATTTTCTAAGTAACTTTTTGACGGAGTCCAGGAGTCGGCAAAAAGCTAAGCTTTCAAGTGTTTTGCCTCATCATTTTTAAGATTTCATCCAGAGATAAGATTTACCAACTCCCTTTAGATGGCTTTTCAATCATGCATTTCCTAAACAAGGCCAAGTTTTTACACAGAGATGTAATGTTGAACACATTCAGGTCCAGTCATGTTGATTCGGCCATCGTAGTTACTAACAGGGGTAAAGAGGAATAAAAAACGACGGCGAAAATTTTAACACTGGCTGTATACAATTATCGGCCGGTGAGCCTAACGTGCATTTGTTGCAAAGTCATGGAGAGAATAGTCAAAAAATCCATAGTGAAGTTCCTTGAAGAAACTAATTTCTTTGCTAGTTCTCAGCATGGCTTTCGAAGAAATCACTCCTGCCTAACTAATATGCTTCATTCAACGGAACAGTGGTCTCGCTCGTTAGACGCAGGAACAAAGGTCGATATCGTGTACATAGATTTCAAGAAAGCCTTTGATAGTGTTCCACACCACCGGTTACTTTACAAGGTCCGAGAATCAGGGATAAGAGGAAACCTATTAAACTGGATAAAGGACTTTCTGACTGGTCGATAACAGTCTGTGTGTATTGGTAATACGAAGTCAACGCCAGTGCCAGTTGCGAGTGGAGTTCCGCAGGGCTCCGTACTCGGACCAGTACTATTTTTAATTTATGTCAACGACTGTATGAATGGACTGGACTGCAATGGAGTCATGTTTGCTGATGACATCAAGTTATGGCGAGCGATCAACGGCGAACATGATGAACGGGCCCTGCAAGAAGGACTGAACCGCCTATGCGAATGGTCGGACAAATGGCTGCTAAAGTTTAACCTTGAAAAGTGCGTCGCGCTGCGACTCAAAACGACTGGAAGAGCTGACGGAGAGGATCACCATTACCAACTTGGTGGAAGGTACCTCTCAAATGTAATCGAACAAAAAGATCTTGGGATTAACATTTTGTCGACCCTTAAGCCTTCATCTCAGTGTGTTAGGGCGTCCAAAAGAGCAAATAGTGTTCTCTTTGCCATTAAACGATCTTTCGTGGACATAGACAAAGAGTTATTTGGAAAAGTATACGGAGCGTTCATTCGTTCGCATTTGGAATATGGAATCCAAGCGTGGCGCCCGTGGCTAAATAAAGACTATAAGTTGCTCGAAAGAGTTCAGAGGAGAGCAACGAAAATTGTAAAAGGCCTCAAGACTTTACCTTACAACTGCCGACTTAGGGAACTTAAACTTTTTCCTCTTGAGTACAGGCAGGTTCGAGGGGATCTCATACAGGCCTATCGGATATTGAGGAACCGGGAATGTGCCCTAAACCCCGACGATTTCTTCACCCTGGCCGCAACAACAAACCTGCGTGGGAACTCTCTAAAACTTAGAGGATCCCGGTGCCGCCTGGATGTTCGCAAATACTGTTTTTCACAGCGAGTCGTCGGTGCCTGGAACGGGCTTCCCGAGGACGTAATAATGGCGGATACCACGGAGACGTTCAAGCAAAGACTCGATGCATATTTGCTTGGACACTATCGATTGTCTGGACAGAACAGCTCTGTGGTGCTAAACCAAAGCCTTGCATACTCATACCGCTGATGCGGATGACTTTCATAACATTTTACTGAAATCATCTGTTCTCAAGTTTTGGTTCTACATTTTCACGGAAACTATTATGTTAGATGCATATATTACTGACAACATTTCAGCACCATATTTATTTAAAGTGAAATATTGCATGTACAGTTTACAATAGGGTTTTCAAAGGGATTGCCTATTACTCTTAAAATATACTGACCTATATACTGACCTATATTGACATGCAGAATTCTGATGTTTCTTCGGTTAAGCCAGATGCGGACTTTGTCCACTTAATTCAGACAATAAGACGTGTGTGAGTGTACCTTAACTGCTGTTTTTCTTTTTTTAAAAAGACGTTTCTTCATCTGTGGCGTTTACGATCTGAAGATAGAAGATGAAGATGCGATCACTGGGACAAGAAGTTTATTTGCCTGACGTTTCGGATTCTCACTCGAATCCATCCTCAGAGAAATTCGCAGATAGAGGTGAAGGTGGCACCAGGAGTGCAGTATTTATAGCACGTGGCTGCCGTGGGACCGTATGCGCACTGCAATTAACAGTTGTCACAATCGCCGCTGGGGTCGTAATTGATGCGGCGGTGGCTTGGCGGTGGCTTGGCGGTCCGAGTCCGAGTTGTTAATTGCCGCGATTTCGTCATCCGTGCTCGATGCTGGTGTGACGATTGCTCGGCAAACTGGCTCACTGTCACCGTGATAATTGCTCACCCGCGCCCTCCCCACGTGACTGATTCTCCTGCCCACAGGAAATCGCAATACGGAATAGGGCACCGGGAGGTCATTGTGTTTGTTGATGGATTGCGGGCCTTAGAACCATGACTCGAGCAGCTCGCGGCTCACGCGGTTGTCACCCCTTGCGAGGATTTCGGCCTCTTGAAATTTGAAAATATGGCCGGGTCCCGTCGAGTGTGCCGCCACCTGAGAGTTAGCGTCTCCCCGCCTCACTGCTGCTGCGTGCTCGGCAAGTCGCGTACGGAGTAATCTCCCAGTTTCTCCGACATAATTGCTTTGTCCGCAACTATACCAGATCCGGTAAACGACTCTAGACGTTTCCTGCCGTGGCAGCGGGTCTTTTGGCCTCATTACTTGGCGCCTAATGGTTGCTTCCGGCCTGTGTGCAACCACAACTCCAAGTGGAGTGAGAAGACGACTGACGGCTTCCGAGACGTTCTCCACGTATGGAAGAGCCCGCCAAAATTTGGGGCTAGTTGGATTTGGTCTCTGGTGTCCTTTTCGTATGCACTGGTTGACAAAGTTGCGCGGGTAGCCATTGGCTCTCATTACCCGTCGAAGATATTGTAATTCAGCAACCTTGTCTTCCATTTCACTGCAGTGCGTCTCAACACGCCGATATAGCGCCCTTACGCAACTGCGTTTGTGACTGATCGGGTGGTTGCTATTGAAGTTCAGTATTTGCGTCGTATTTGTCGATTTCCTGAACACTTTGGTTTTTAGGCCACCACAATCTTTGCGGCAGACGAGGACATCCAGGAAGGCCAGCTGATTGTTTTCCTCCTCCTCCATCGTAAACTGAATGTCCGGGAAGACGGCGTTGAGTTGTTCTTTGAAAGTCAGCACCTGATCCCGTTCGATGACGACGAAGGTGTCATCCACATACCGAGCCCAGAATTTCAGTCTGTGGTGTCGGAAAACCAGCGACTCCAGCCGTTGAAGGACCGCCTCGGCTATGAGTCCCGAAATCGGCGAACCCATTGGCGTTCCCTTCACCTGCTCGTAGATTGTTCCGTCGAATGTAAAGTACGTCTTGAGACAGAACTTCAGGAGCTGGATGATTTGGGCGTGTCCGAGGCGATTCTCCGTTTCGTCGTACTTCTCTCGTAGGAGTAGTTCGATTGTCTCGACTGTCAGGTCCTGCGGGATAGAAGTAAAAAGAGACGTGACATCAAAGGAAACCATGATATCGCTTGGCAGGAGACTTACTCCTTTAAGTTTCTCCAAGAATTGCGTTGACGAGCTGACTGTGGTGTTCGAATCGGAGGTCAGAAACTTGAGAAGTTGGAAAAGCCACTTTGCCAGTCCGTAGGTTGCAGTGCCCTTTAGTGATACGATAGGCCGGAGAGGAGCGCCCTCTTTGTGCACTTTTGGGAGACCGTAGAATCGGGCTAGGGCCGTTTCCTGTGCTCTCGCCATGCGTCGGTCGATTGGCGATATTGCACCTGAGTACTCCATTGCAAACAGCGTCGCGTTAATCTCGCGTGTCAGCGTTTTCATGGGGTTGGATTCGCATGGGACATAGGACTGACAACACTGACTGTCTCGACAACAACGTGCTGCCGAAGCTGAGGGATAGGAGGGGAGTTTGTTTCATGAGTGAATACCGAATGAAAGAAACTGAATAAGACTGATGTTTTCATGTGTTCATCCGTCTCACGTACTCCGTTTTGGGACCTCCGCGCCGAAATCGGATCCCGATTTCTTTTGTCACTACGTATTTAACCGTACAGGATTTTAGGATGCTCCGGAGGGTTCGGCAATATCAACAGCTCATAGTCCCTTCGAAGTATATTAGCCTCATGTTTACACACATCCCGCTGTCGTTTGTATTACTGAAGGTGTTCAGAACTCTCTGTTAGTCGATAATGTCTCCACAACTTATTTCTTCTCTTAAACGCAATTTGTAATTCTCGGTTTCTCCATGGCGGACGGTCGCTTGTTTTCTTTCGTCTGAATGGACAGTTTATATTTACAATTCTTCTAACCAGTGAACTGAACGTGCTCCAGACGTCACTAACTGTTCCCTTCAATGTGGTTGTCCACGGCATTGCCAAGACTTGCCTTCGCATGCTGGAAAAATCTCCCTCCCAGACATTTGCTTCCAATTGTTCAGGTGAATCAGGTTGGGAGAACACGGAGTACTCGACAAGCATCACAGTACGATCACTGGCAATAATTCGTAGGCGATCTTATACATCCCAGCACACGCTTCATCTCGAGTGAGCACCAGATCAAGGCAGTTTGGATGTTGCCCTTCCCTTACGTGTGTTCCGAGAGTTACATTCTGGAAAGACAGTTTCTCCACTGCGAATTCAAGCAAAAGTTGTCCGAGCATGTCAGATGGACCGGAAACCGTCCAAGCTTGACAGTTGATACGTGGGAGCCAAAATATTTTGAAAGGCATGAATTCGCACTGATAAGGCCTTAACTTTGATAAAATGCCGTCAAGGCTTTCAAATGATCTCCATCTTGTAGTCGAGGTTGTAAAACGTTCGCTGTTGTGCCATCATCATCATCATCATCATCATCATCATCATCATCATCATCATCATCATCATCATCATCATCAGCCACGTCGCGGCCCACCTATTTTGCCACTGTGGAGTGGAACTTTGTAGTCATCAGCCTTCTTCTACAATACTCGTTGCAAGAAAATGCAAATACTAAAGCAATACTTTGAAAACTCTAAAAAACACACAGCAGCTGGTGCGGCAACTTGTACAGTTCCCAAACCTCAAGGCTGTTGGTGATCAGGCATTTTTTATCTTTCAAAATGCTGGGCCGTAAACGCAAAAATTCATTCAATGTATCAGCAACTAACCTTTAGAACAAATTTGCACATGATAATGATTTCCGTCGTTTCCTATCAGACAAGCCACTCCGTAATTAAGTTTATAAACGTTCCGGCATGGAAAAAGGACTCTTAAAGGAATTTTAGCCGTTGCACTTCATTCCACCCCAGCAAAGGCGGGAGGGTCATTAAACAAGACAATATTTTGAAATAAGGTCTGCAAATCAGTTAGATTGGACAAATCCTCCAAATTTTCGAAAAGAAACAGTTCCTCGGCACCTTTTTTAAAATGACCGTATTTGGACCTGCACTTCAGACAAAAGCTACTTTTTAATCTGCAACTCATTTGTTCAGCATAAAGTGCAATCATTTCGGCTGTCCACAAACTGTACACTTAACGATAATGTAAATCAGTCCTAGTCAACTACCAACGGAACTAACCATTTTTTAAGATACATCCTCATTCAGCATCCTTAAAGGTTTCTTTATTGAGCCTGCCTATTGTCTTTTGCATTTAGCACTAAGGTTTACGGAACCATATTTCCTTGCCGTGCTTGTTCTTTCTGGAACCTGTTCAATAACGTACCTCCGCTGATAATCCAACAGCAACCCCCGAATATTTAATGTATCATTGGGATTTTGGGAAATATTCTGTCCATTCTGTCTATCAGCCTTTTCGGAGTTGTTAGCATAGAAGTGCTATTAACCACGAGGACAAGAAAGACTGGAATGGACATTTCTGCATATTAGCCGTTAACAGCCAATCACATCCAACTTCGTGGTGTGCAACACCTAGAGCACGATCCCGCGACCTGTCAGCGCCCCTCTAGAGACAGGACAACGACCCCATGACTCAGAGGTTAGGGCGTTTGGCTTCTAAACCGCAGATCGCGGGATGGAGCTGCAGGTGCTGCGCACTT